CAGTACTGTATGGTCAGGATAAAACTGGATTTCAGAGATGTTATACCTATATAACAAGAATGTTTTTTGAGGAGAGGGATGGAAGAGAGAAAAGAAATGGTGAATGAAATCCAAAGTGATTCTTGGAATAGAGGAAAGAGGCAAAGTGGAAAAAAGGGAAAGACAATATGACTGACTGCATTTCCCAGTAATGGGCACATTACTTTTTCTTACAATGTATCTTGATACTTTTTCCATTGAGAGGTGAAGTCTATGTTCCCTCTTCTTCATTATGGAGAAGGTCGTGACCACTCTAGAAGTGGTATTATGTGACTTCTGAAATTATATAAGGTGACTCAGCTTCTGCCCAGTTTTCTTGTGATGTTCATTCTTGGAACCTACCCCCATGATGTGAGACGCCCAAGCAGCTCGAAGGAAGTCCTGCTGAAGCTCCATCTGAGGTCTTCATTGCTATCAATGAAGCAGCCACCAGACATGGAGGGGAGTGAGCATTTGGATGAGTTGAGCCCTAGCCATGGAGTCGCCTCAGCTAAGGTCCTGATGTGAAGAGGTGTCACTAACATATCCTTCCAGAATTCCCAGCTGATCCACAGCATCTGCGAGCATGGTAATTGTTTTATCCCACTGAGTGTCTTTTCATGCAGCAGTGGTAGCGAAACAGTCGGCATGAAGAAAGAGAAGTGAAAATAATGAAAGCTAGTATCCGATCTTCCCGAGAAGTGAGAAAAGACTCAGAGGTAGTTTCACTAGCTTTTGAAAGTGGGTCTTTTCAGTGAAGTGCCCTAAAGTTTTTGGGGATGGTAAGCAGCCCTTTTCACCATAGGTACCAGGAAGGTGACCACCGCAGTTAAAAGCCTGGAGTGTAAGAAACAGCCTCATCATCAGTTATCTGGCAGTCCTTACAAATAGAGAGTATGGACCGAACACACGGGGTAGGATTTACAAGTCTCCTATCCCAGGAGGAAATATTTAAGAAAAATTCTGGTTTTGGTTGATGTTGTACTATAATTTAGTACTTACAATTTTTGCACAACAGGTACACGAGACAGATACGTCTCATTAGTAGATCATTTTACAAAGATTCCTTGATTTAATTTTGTCCACTCTCTATACCAGAACCTTGACCCTTAGGATCATGCAGAAGTCTCTCAAATCGAGGTATTTACACATGAAAGTATCTTGAAAGTTCTTTAATTGTTATGAAGATGACAAGTGGATTTGAGAATGAGTCCATCTGCAAAAAGAACTTCTTGCAAAGTGCATCCCAGGTTCATGTAGTTCAGGCACTAGAAAGGAAATACTGGGGATTCTGACATCAAGATTTTGTTCTGGATCACCAGTAAACTCGTAACAACTTAGTCAGTGTGCCTATTCTGATTTTTACTTGTCTGAATTTTGTTTTCAGGATTTATAGACTCTTCCTTGTGTAAACTACTCCCTTCTTTGTCTTTACTATCTGCCATGTTGGGATATTCTGCTTTTTCTGTTCTAACTTTTTATTTTATATTGGGGTACAGCCAATAAACAATGTTGTGAGTTTCACATGAACAGCAAAGGGACTCAGCATTAGGTATACATGTACCCATTCTTCCCCAGACTCCCCTCCCATCCAGGTTTCCATATAATATTGAGCAGAGTTCTATGTGCTATATAGAGGGTCCTGGTTATTCTGCTTTTTAGAAATATTTTTCTTTTTCGTATGTATTCATTTGGCCGCACGTGGTCTCAGTCGCAGCATGTGGGATGTGGAGTCTTTTGTTCTGGTGCACAGACTCTCTAGCTGTGGCAAGCAGGCTTAGTTGCTCTGTGACATGTGGGGTCTTAGTTCCCCAACCAGGGATCCTACAGGCATCCCCCGCATTGCAAGATTCTTAACCAATGGCCCACCAGGAAAGTCCCTATCCTGCTTCTCTGATTCAGCAAATTCATTGCTAAACTTGATCTTTGCTGGGTGCTTGTTCAGAATACAGTCTTGTCAACTGATTTCCATAGATGCTCCTTTTCCCTCTAGCATGTAAATTAAAGGCTAGCTGCTTTACCTGTTAACAGAGAACTGGCTGGATCTCTTTACAGCTCTCTTGCTTAACCTGATGACACTGCATTCTGTCTGGTTGTGATGGTGTTTTATTTTGAGAGGAACCAGCATTTGTGGTAAACTGTGGCAGTGGAAAGTGAACTTCAAAACTCATTTGGAGGGAAGAGTCTCTTTCAGCTTAGAGTGTGAGCTGAGACAGATCTCCTATCCTGTGCTGCTCCAACACTTCCTATATCACACCATTAAACATCCTCCCAGGAACCAGAAGCTCCAGGAGCTTCTGCTTAATCACTTCGTGCCCAGTATCACAGCAGACCACATTTGCAGGAATGTGGGCCATGCTAACCCCCTGTGGTGAGACAGCTGTTCTGTTTTTAAAACACGCAACACAGAGTGAGATGGTCAAACGATTATCCTCAGGGCTCGTGATAGAAAAGAATGTAATAGGGGTTAATTTGCCTATATTCACATAACTGGTATGTTGCAAAGCCTTGTTTGGACTCAAACTCTTGCTTTTTCTTTGCTAAGTTTAATTTATTTTTACATCACACTTTACCCTCAAAGAGGACGTATAAGACCTGCCTTTCATGGAGGAAAGGGTCAGTACGCTGAAGGCTGACATGAGAATTTGCCTTAATGGTGGTATTGTGCAGTCGCTAAGTCAGGTCTAACTCTTTGTGACCCCATGGACTGTAGCATGTCAGGGTCCTCTGTCCTCCACTAGCCCTCAGAGTTTGCTCAGACTCACATCTACTGAGTTGGTGATGCTCACACTGTCTTAGTGCACCACATGGTAAAGAACGAAGCATGGCCTGCTGGCTCCCAGACTCTAATTAACCTTTTTACAGTTTTCTGCCAAACTGTCCTTTTTCCTGCACAACATGACTCTACTGATGGAGTGGGCACCAGTACAAGTGGACTGACAATTTAACATTCATATATTTGAGAAAGAGAGACGATACACCAGATGCTCTCAAAGTGGAGTCCCTGCCTGGACCCGCAGCACCAGTGTGACTCGAAGAGCTTATGACAAATGCAAAATGCGGGACTTCCCTGGCGGTCCAGTGGTTAAGACTCAGTGCTTCTATTGCAGGGAGCACCGGTTCAATCCCTGGTAGGGGAACTAAGATCCTGCGTGCAATGTGGCCATAAATAGCTAGCTTTAAAAATGCAGATTTCCCCAGATCTACTGAATGAGAAACTCTGTGAGCAAAGACCCAACAAGCTACAGTTTAACAAGCGATTATGCTCCAGATGACCCTGACACACACAAAAGTTGAGAACGTAGAACGAAGACACTCAGAAAACTATTTTCATTCACAATTTGTTCCCAATGGTGAGGATAATTGTGTAAAATATCCTTGAATAATAGGATGTCAAAGAAAGAGATCCCTTTCATCATGTACCCACTTAGGGCTTACTGTGTACCCCGTTAGGAAACATATATAAATATGGCTCCAGCCTTCTTTGAGCCCATCCAGTATCGACAAGATGTACATATTTGTTATGTATTTTTGGTAGATATTTGATTTGCCAACAAAACAGAGATGAAAATAGTGTCTCTGGTGGCTACGTGCAATACCCTCTCAGGAGATGAAAAAATATGGGCTAAACTCAGTACTGTGTTGTTGCTGTTATCAAACCATCCTTTGGTCTTTTAACAGATGGAGAAATGAAGGCCGTTCATGAAAATCTTAACAAGGTCACAGTTTAAACCGTACATTCATTTGATCAATGACTAAAACAGAATGCACAGCCTCATACTTCAGTGCTTTGGCCTTTGCCTTATGAATCAGCTCTAGCCCCAAGAACCTCAGACTAGGTCAGGATCACAAAACCATCTCTTACCTGCTCAGCAATTAAACAAATGTGCAACAGACTTTCCCGTCTATTTAACTTTTATTAAAAGAAGTGCTAAAGGTACTGAGATACAGTACATCATATTTATTACCAAAATTATTAACAAATATACAAAACTTATACATGTAATTTTCTTACATCCATTTACTCTCTATAATACTGATTTGTGTTCAAGTAGGTTATCTACAGTATGTAAACATCCCTTGGATTGACCTCACACAGATTAGGAAAGCCCACTAACCCATGCTTTTATCAGATACTTCTTTTTATTTGGCTTTCATTTCGTAGCATCTAATCGTCACATTTGGCACATGGAAGAGACATCTACAGTGCAAAAGAGGCAGATTTTCTGGTCTCCTTCCCAACAGTTTTGCAGGGGCACAGTTAAAGAGCTGAGGAACAAGAGCGCTCTAACTCGATGGAGGTGGATTGGCTGTGACGCCGACAACTCTAGGTTCAGCCATTCAACTTGAGCTTCAAGTCAATGCCTCTTCCTTATCCCCCCCCATCCCCCCCCATGCAATGCCAATTAGGCCTTAGCCTGGTCTTAAAAGGATGGAAAGAGATTCCATCCAGCCCAGAACGAGTGAGGTTAATCTCACCGAGGAATCACTTTCAGTGTTCTTTTGTGTGGGTTGGTTTGTGCAGGGTGATGCACCCGCCAAATCCTTAAATGGAGAGAATAGAACATAACTTTTTAAAAAAGCCCCCAAACAGATAGAAGATTAGAACAGTTTCAACGGCCACCTCTGCACTGAAAAGCTCAGCATCTCTGAAGTGGCAACGAAGACAAACGCCTTCGTGAATGGCGGAGACAAGCCAAACCCGCCATACGTAACCTCAGACTCCACACCTTGGGATACAGGATCAGAAAAATTTTTAAATAAAATAAAATAAAGGTCGTTGGCGGTTCTGCCCCCCTCTTCCTGTGTTTCCTTTTGAGGATGTAGCTTAACCTCACCGAGTAAAGCTGATCCAGAGAGAGCTCCGCGCGCCCCCGGCCGCGCTGGCCCGCACGCCACCGCTCCCGTGGACGGGGCGCTCTTCTGCGAAGCCGCCGCCCAGACCGGCCAAGTTTGGCCGCGCGCCCGCCTCCCGGCTTCCGTCACCATAGGGGCGCGGGCCCCTCCGACGCCCCGTAGAGCTCCGCCAGCTTCCGGAAGCGGGGCCCCCAGTCTGTGAGGAAGTCGAAGCTCTGCTCCGAGTCCGATGTGGCCGACTGCAGGGAGCTGAGCGAGCCGGCGACCGAGCCGTCGCCCTCGAACATGTAGGTCTGCAGGGAGTCGAAGGGCGGGGCCCACAGGTCCATGTCGGCCTCGTAGAGCTTGGCCAGCACGTAGCTGTGCACGGTGCTGCTGACGGCGCACGTCTGAGGCACGTAGCGCGAGAGGCTCTCGATCTCGGGCAGCATGTCCTGCCGCGTCTTGGGCGCGCCGGCCGCCTGCGCCTCGCGGGGGTTCCACATGGCTGCGATGTCGAAGGCCTCGGTGTCCTCCTCGCCGCCGCCCTCGTCGTCGTAGCGCACGATGTTCTCGTGGATGTTCTCCTCGTCGTCGAGGATGTAGGGCTGCTTTCGGTGCCTCCGCAGGGAGAGGATGAGCAGCACCAGCACTGCGGGCACACAGAGGCCAGGTTGGCGGGGGAGCCGGGCCGAGCCCTCGGGTGGGGGTGCGGAGGCTCGTGGGGGTGGGGAGGGGGGTGGGGAGGCTCGTCTGCGGGGGCGAGGCGGGGTTTGGGCCTCGCCTCCCCGGCACCCCGGTCTCACTCTGCCTGCCGCGTCCAGTGGAGCGCTTGCGGGCAGCTGAACCTTACGTGGTAATGTAATTCCAGGTGGTTCAAGTAGACGTGAAAGTGATAGTTACTCAGTCACATAGGACTGTTGTGACCCCATGGACTGTAGCCCGCCAGGCCCCCTTGTCCATGGGATTCTCCAGGCAAGGATACTGGAGTGGGGTGCCATTCTCTTCTCCAGGGGATCTTCCCCACCCAGGGATTGAACCTGAGTCTCCTGTATTGGCAGGTGGGTTCTCTACCACCAGCACCCCCTGGTCTCTGTCTTACTGTATCGCAGTGAAATGCGTGTGGGTGTCTACACCCAACCACCCAAGTGTAATGTCTCATTAACTAGGCACAAAGCCCAGTGTCCCGCCATGGAGCATATGCTTAAAGATTAGGTGATGTCTTCTGACTAGGTAAGGATGCATACATATTTCTCTTATAGCAATGTGAAAACCTTATTCCGTAGATGAAATCCTGCTTTTACTTTTTACATTGGCGTCTCTATAGGATTCTACTCTCAATATACTGTTGACCCTTGAGCAACATGGATTTGAACTACTGGAGTCCACTTCGATGTGCTTTTTTTTTTTCCCGGTAAGTACATAGTACAGTGATTGGGCTTGGTTGCCGCAGATGCTGAAAGGTGGATACTGTGGGCCAACTGTTAAGTTATATACCACTGCAGGGCTGGTCTGCACCCCACACCCCACCCCACCATTGTCCAAGGGTCAGTTGCAATCATATGTTAATGCAAATGCACATAGGCGCATATGCTAAATATGAGCCAAAGTCTTTGTCTTTTCATGTTTTCTCCAAAAAATAAGAGTGCATAAATAACTGCCATTGTCTAGTTAACGCAGATTCTTCAGAAAAACCTTCTTTAGAGAGATGGTTGTGACTTTGCGGATCTAAGGATGTTCATGGAAAAGAGGGAGTGAGCAGTAACATTTTATATGATTCATCATGTTATCAAAGAAGCGCCACACTGTTAGATGTGCCCTTGCAGGTTTGGATGAAATTTTATTGCAACAAAATTTTTTTTTTTCCAGGGTATGTGTTCAATGGGGTTTAAAGGGGAGATAGAGATAAGCCCATTGAACTGTTTATCTCTCTGACTGAAAGTGTTTTCCAGGAAGTGTCTTGAGGTTTTTGGCTGTAGAACCTCTATTGAATTTTTTTTTCTGCCATGCTTTGTTACAGCTGGTGAACAGTGACAGCTTGACAACACTGCACAATAAGACCCCGGTTTATCCAAGGGAGGAAAGAGTCGTATGCCCGTTAAGATTATGGCCTAACTTAAAGAAATCACAGTAATGGTTTTTAAAACCTGAATGTGGAATGTGAGTGGCAGTTAATAATGTTAATACATGACGTTTCCCCGTATAGCTTGGGTGACAAAATGCACACACAGGAAACAATTATAAACTCTCGTATGTTATCTCTGTGTGCAAAAATGTAACCCAGCCTACAGGACCCTGGGATTTTGGAGAAATAGGCTAATAGGACTTTAAGGAAGTGGTGGCTTGAAGTGGGCTGTGGTGGTTTCGGTGTGATTCGGATGGATGAATGCAGGTTGGAGAAATGGGACTGTAAGTGGACTTGTGTTTGTGGGACCCAGTGAGCAGTCACTAAACGGCAGTATTTGGGGGGACTATCCGAAGCAAAGGGGAAACAAAGTCGAGTAGGACGTGACTCCTTGTTTATAGGCTTGCAGTCTAAGGAGATGGTAGGCGCTAATGATTGACATGGATCAGACATGACCCCTTGTTTATAGGCTTGCAGTCTAAGGAGATGGTAGGCGCTAATGATTGATATGAATCAGACATGACCCCTTGTTTATAGGCTTGCAGTCTAAGGAGAGGGTAGGCGCTAATGATTGATATGAATCAGACATGACCCCTTGTTTATAGGCTTGCAATCTAAGGAGAGGGTAGGCGCTAATGATTGATATGAATCAGACATGACCCCTTGTTTATAGGCTTGCAGTCTAAGGAGAGGGTAGGCACTAATGATTGACACGGATCAGACATGACCCCTTGTTTATAGGCTTGCAGTCTAAGGAGAGGGTAGGCGCTAATGATTGACACGGATCAGACATGACCCCTTGTTTATAGGCTTGCAGTCTAAGGAGAGGGTAGGCGCTAATGATTGACACGGATCAGACATGACCCCTTGATTATAGGCTTGCAGTCTAAGGAGAGGGTAGGCGCTAATGATTGACACGGATCAGGCATGACCCCTTGTTTATAGGCTTGCAGTCTAAGGAGAGGGTAGGCACTAATGATTGACACGGATCAGGCACGACCCCTTGATTATAGGCTTGCAGTCTAAGGAGAGGGTAGGCGCTAATGATTGACACGGATCAGACATGACCCCTTGTTTATAGGCTTGCAGTCTAAGGAGAGGGTAGGCGCTAATGATTGACACGGATCAGGCATGACCCCTTGTTTATAGGCTTGCAGTCTAAGGAGAGGGTAGGCACTAATGATTGACACGGATCAGGCACGACCCCTTGATTATAGGCTTGCAGTCTAAGGAGAGGGTAGGCGCTAATGGTTGACACGGATCAGGCATGACCCCTTGATTATAGGCTTGCAGTCTAAGGAGAGGGTAGGCGCTAATGATTGACACGGATCAGGCACGACCCCTTGATTATAGGCTTGCAGTCTAAGGAGAGGGTAGGCGCTAATGATTGACACGGATCAGGCATGACCCCTTGATTATAGGCTTGCAGTCTAAGGAGAGGGTAGGCGCTAATGATTGACACGGATCAGGCATGACCCCTTGATTATAGGCTTGCAGTCTAAGGAGAGGGTAGGCGCTAATGATTGACACGGATCAGACATGACCCCTCGTTTGTAGGCTTGCAGTCTAAGGAGAGGGTAGGCGCTAATGGTTGACACGGATCAGACATGACCCCTCGATTATAGGCTTGCAGTCTAAGGAGAGGGTAGGCGCTAATGGTTGACACGGATCAGGCATGACCCCTTGATTATAGGCTTGCAGTCTAAGGAGAGGGTAGGCGCTAATGATTGACACGGATCAGACATGACCCCTTGTTTATAGGCTTGCAGTCTAAGGAGAGGGTAGGCGCTAATGATTGACACGGATCAGACATGACCCCTTGATTATAGGCTTGCAGTCTAAGGAGAGGGTAGGCGCTAATGATTGACACGGATCAGGCACGACCCCTCGATTATAGGCTTGCAGTCTAAGGAGAGGGTAGGCGCTAATGATTGACACGGATCAGGCATGACCCCTTGATTATAGGCTTGCAGTCTAAGGAGAGGGTAGGCGCTAATGATTGACACGGATCAGGCATGACCCCTTGATTATAGGCTTGCAGTCTAAGGAGAGGGTAGGCGCTAATGATTGACACGGATCAGACATGACCCCTCGTTTATAGGCTTGCAGTCTAAGGAGAGGGTAGGCGCTAATTGTTGACACGGATCAGGCATGACCCCTTGTTTATAGGCTTGCAGTCTAAGGAGAGGGTAGGCGCTAATGGTTGACACGGATCAGACATGACCCCTTGATTATAGGCTTGCAGTCTAAGGAGAGGGTAGGCGCTAATGATTGACACGGATCAGACATGACCCCTTGTTTATAGGCTTGCAGTCTAAGGAGAGGGTAGGCGCTAATGATTGACACGGATCAGACATGACCCCTTGTTTATAGGCTTGCAGTCTAAGGAGAGGGTAGGCGCTAATGATTGACACGGATCAGACACGACCCCGTGATTATAGGCTTGCAGTCTAAGGAGAGGGTAGGCGCTAATGGTTGACACGGATCAGGCATGACCCCTTGATTATAGGCTTGCAGTCTAAGGAGAGGGTAGGCGCTAATGGTTGACACGGATCAGACATGACCCCTTGATTATAGGCTTGCAGTCTAAGGAGAGGGTAGGCGCTAATGATTGACACGGATCAGGCACGACCCCGTGATTATAGGCTTGCAGTCTAAGGAGAGGGTAGGCGCTAATGATTGACACGGATCAGACTTGACCCCTCGATTATAGGCTTGCAGTCTAAGGAGAGGGTAGGCGCTAATGATTGACACGGATCAGGCACGACCCCTCGATTATAGGCTTGCAGTCTAAGGAGAGGGTAGGCGCTAATGATTGACACGGATCAGACATGACCCCTCGATTATAGGCTTGCAGTCTAAGGAGAGGGTAGGCGCTAATGATTGACACGGATCAGACATGACCCCTTGATTATAGGCTTGCAGTCTAAGGAGAGGGTAGGCGCTAATGATTGACACGGATCAGACATGACCCCTTGATTATAGGCTTGCAGTCTAAGGAGAGGGTAGGCGCTAATGATTGACACGGATCAGACATGACCCCTTGTTTATAGGCTGCAGTCTAAGGAGAGGGTAGGCGCTAATGATTGACACGGATCAGACATGACCCCTCGATTATAGGCTTGCAGTCTAAGGAGAGGGTAGGCGCTAATGATTGACACGGATCAGACATGACCCCTTGTTTATAGGCTGCAGTCTAAGGAGAGGGTAGGCGCTAATGATTGACACGGATCAGACATGACCCCTTGATTATAGGCTTGCAGTCTAAGGAGAGGGTAGGCGCTAATGATTGACACGGATCAGACATGACCCCTTGTTTATAGGCTGCAGTCTAAGGAGAGGGTAGGCGCTAATGATTGACACGGATCAGACATGACCCCTTGATTATAGGCTTGCAGTCTAAGGAGAGGGTAGGCGCTAATGATTGACATGGATCAGACATGACCCCTTGTTTATAGGCTGCAGTCTAAGGAGAGGGTAGGCGCTAATGATTGACACGGATCAGACATGACCCCTTGATTATAGGCTTGCAGTCTAAGGAGAGGGTAGGCGCTAATGGTTGACACGGATCAGGCCGTGATAAGGACTGCCATAGAGCCGCGGAGTTTCACAGAGGACACAGAAGCGGGACCGGCGCGTTCTTCCTGTTGCACTGGGAAAACCTTCACACCAGTGACACTGGAGTGACAGGTGTAGGCTTTCAGAAAAGGCTGGGAAGCAAAATTAGAAAAGTCTCTAAGTTTCTACTGGGAAGAATTCTGGTATTGCGGAGACCCGCTTCAACCCCTGGGTCAGGAAGATCCCCCGGAGTCAGGAATGGCAGCCCACTCCAGAATTCTTGCCTGGAGAATCGCATGGACAGAGAAGCTTGGCAGGCTGCACGCCATGGGGTCACAGAAAGTCAGACAGGACTGAGTGACTAAGACTGTCACTGATTTAAGTAATAAGTATTATATAATCCCCTAAAAATCAAATTTTGGGGAAAATGACCCTATTCTGCTGAAAGTCTTCCCTGACAGAAGAGAATTGGTTCTAGGGATGTTTATTATTTAGGATCTGTAGGCTGAATGCCTATGAGATAGGGCCTATGAGATTTTCTAGGGGCTAGATACATATTTGAGACATGAAAAAAAATATAGTCCAAATTAATATGTTTATATACTTGTCCACAAAATGTATTTTTTGACAGATCAGCTGCAATTTAGCCTTACTCAGTTTTATGAATTATATTTAATGTGAAATGTGCACTTTTAGACAAAAGTGCCTAAGAGTATAAGGATTTTAGGACAGCTTTGCTCAGTTTAGGTACTGAAAACTGTCTGTTTATCACATACAATTCAAAAGACAAGACATAACGGGCCACAGAATATAGACTGCCCCTCGCATACCCCTTCTGACCTCGGCGCCTCCTGTGCGTCTCTGAGTCAGTCTCTCTGTCATGGTGGTTCCTTCACTATTTGTGGGATAGAGTGAATTTACAATGTAGACAGTTTCCAAAGATAGAGGTAAGGACAGCCAGATTGGAAATTTCTCCTAGGAGCAAGTTCTTCTGAGGCCTCTTGCAGGTTATCCTGTTAAAGGACTCCCATTGCCACCTTCTGGACACTCAGGGAATTGCAGGAGGGTTTTATTTGTCAATGTAGAAAGGGACCAGAAACCTAAAGGTTCTCTGTGATCCAGGGATTCAAGGACTTAGAAAGGTAACTTCTTTATCCTGTTATCTCCCTTCGCGTAGCACTGAGCTGAGACAACAAAAAGGAACCACGTGTTGTACTTTAAAATGTTTTTTTGAGAAGCATATTTAGCAGACCTACTAGAAATTCAGTCAAGCACTGACATTTTACAGTGAGACCTTTCTTTGGTCTGACTCAGTCTCTTGGTGTAAAGGTAAACTTAAGATCAGGGCTTAAATTCTAATTTAAATCCCCAATGCTTTACTCATTTCCCTTATAGAATGCTAGGATTTCTTCCAAATTGAGTAATAATACTGGTTTACTGAGTCTGCTTTTCTCTAAGCAAAATATGCATGCTATGAATTAACTCCATCAGAAGAGGTGGGGGCTATGTGCAGATACTTTCTTGGTTTCAGGAGTCGGTTTAGGTGTTTTATGTTTGCTCTGGCGTGTGGATGTTGAGAATGATAGCACGAGTGGCCGTGGGTACAGGGGAGCTGGGTGGCTGCTTTGCAGGCAGTGTGGCCTCAGACGAGGAAGAGCCCCTGCTGCCGCAGTGCCGCCCAGGGGCCTGTCGCCACGCAGTCCTGTCGCAGCTGTGGAGGCACAGCGGTGCTGGTTGGAGGCCGCCGAGCCTGGGCGTGTGCTGACGCCCCTGACGGCGCATCCTCCCAGCTCTCCGTGTGGCTCAGTCTGTCACTTCTTTCAGATCTCTGCTCAGAGGTTCTCTTGCCAGTGAGGTCTTCTCTGACTGCCTCACTTAAAATGACGCCCAGCTCCGTCTCCTCTTCTCCCAGCACTCCGTGTCCCTCCCTCCTTCTCTGTAGCACTTACCACCTCCGGGAGCTGGGGGTGAACATTCGGGAGAAGGGTCGTACTGCTCAGATGCAGGGATATGCAGAGTGGGGCCTGCCTGCCTTTCAGTCCTGACTCTGCCCCTGAGATGTGGCTTGGGCCTGTCACTGCCTGTCGTTCCATATCTGAGAGGAGGGCGTTAGGAGAGGTGATCATCACATCCTGTCCAAAATGACCACGTAGGTTTTGTGATGTCAGAATGACTTGCTTTGTTTTGAAGTAAGCCCTGTGAAGGCCGGGACATTTCTGTCTCACTAATCCCAGCGTCTAGGATGGCAGCCTGGCTCTAATAAATGCTTGATAAATATGTATGCGTTGATCTGGCCTTGAAGGAAGGGACAGTCTTCCCTCTCTTTCCTTTTTCCCAGCATTGCTCCGCCACCCTTGCAATCAGCCCAGTGTGGAAAACCAGTCCTGGCTGGCTGAGTTAGGATGCTGATGGGATGCTGTCCAGGGCAGCACGTGCAGGGCCCCAGTGTGGGGAGGAGCCGCTCACTCACCCAGGAGGACAAAGACGCAGGCCAGGATGGCGATGAGCGCACCGCGGCTGAGGCTCACAGGGAGCATGTAGGCCTCGGGGCTGCAGGACAGCACGTGGCCCTCGTCGTCACAGCCGCACACCTGGATGGTCAGCGTGCCCGTGCTGCTGAGCACCGGCTGCCCGCCGTCCGAGATCAGGATGGGCAGGTAGAAGACACTCTGGTCCTGCTGCCGGAAGCCAGACCTCCTGGTCAGAATCCGGGCGGTGTTATCTGGAGCAGACAGGGATTCCAGGATTGGAAAGGGAAGAGGGAAAAGGAGAAGGGAATGGAAAGGAAGAACCACCGAGAGAGTTAATTTCGTGAACTGGGGAAAGCAAGGGGCAGGAACCCGGTGGGGAAGGCAGGGAAGGGACAGCGTTCCCTGGAGGAGTTCCGCTGCAGCCGCTCAGATTTGTCAGGGTCAGCAATTGGGTTCAGAAACCAAGATTTTTGCTTGCTTCTAGGCAAAAAAATCCTTGAGGCTTGGGAAAGAAACCCTTTTTGAGAGTCTGTCTTCCCCTTTGTGACATGAAGTGCCCAGGGCGAACTGTCAGGCCTCAGATCTAACTGAAATGTCCCTGGGAAAGCTCGACAGAAGTGAACCATCACTGGCGATGTGTGGTCCCTACTTGTTCTCTCTCAGCAGCTTTCCGAGGCCCCCGCTGCTGCTTTTGAGCCTCCAGGAGAGGAATGCGGAGGAGCCCACGTGGCTCTGGCAGACTGCTGCTTTTTGCCTCTGAGGCTGGAATTCATGTCTTTGGCTGTTTTCTTTTATACCTTTGAAATGCAGTCACCAGTTCCTGTACTTTCTGATGAACTTGCTCATTTAGCAGAAGCTTATTTGAAATCCCCAAATGATATGACACACCCTATTATTTCCCACTACTTGGTGGTCTGAGTTTAAGCAATTCATATGTATTTGGTGAAAACTCAATAGTGGTTTTCTCCCCCAGTTTTAAAGAGGATTAGCCAGCTTGTTTGGTATGCTTTTACAAAGCTGGTGTGTGTGTGTGTGTGTGTATTTATATTTGCTTAATGTAATGTTTTAGGATCTTTTATTTTTTAATCTATCTTCTCAAGGTTTCTTGAGTGGGTTTTTGCAAAGCTGGTGTCTTTTTTAGCAGAGGAGAAGTTTGAGATGTGGAAGGACATACAAACAGTGACTCTCAAATCCAGCATCAGCAATATGGAAGGTTCTCTGGATGCGTTTCACATTTCACAGGGAGGAGTCTGGAACTTCACAAAAAATTCGGAGAGCCTAATCAAAGGAAATGTTATTAATATCAGTATCATTTCTTACATAAAAAGGATTATACTTTTCTCCGCTTTTGACTTTGGATACTTGTATATGATTCGCTTTTGGTGACGGGAATGAGCAAAGGTGATCCGTGTCACTTGCGGGCAGCAGCGTGTACCAGCTGGTGTGACTCTGGTGCTCTCTTGCCGTGGTGCAGTGTGTGAAAGCACATTAGACGGAGGGCCAGGCAGCCTGGGCCGCCTGCACGTGACGGCTGTCCTGCACCGCCAGGCCCGCATGCAGTCGGCTTTGTGTGAGCAAGAAATTAACTTGAGTTAAGCCGCTGAGATTTTGGTGTCCTTTGTTTGCACAGCCTAGCCAGCCTATTCTAACACGTTCTTCCTTAATTAATTTTCCATCTCTTCCTCCACCTGTTTTTTCATGAGACCAGTTGATTCTTGGGTGCGTATGTGCACGGCGTTTTAGACTTCACATGCAGCAGCTCATTTCCTCTTTAGTACCACTTGGTGAAATAATGGTAATCTCACCCTGTCACACTGGGAGAGTTAAGGCCTGGAGAGATCATGTAGTGGGGTCCAAGTCTCTGGTTTACTAACAGAGCTGGGATTTGAACTCTAGTCTCTGACTCCAAATGCATACTCCTTCCATTGTGTTATGTAGCCACTTAGTTTTGTAACAGTGTTGAAAATTATTCAGCTAATTGAAATCTCTATCAGCTTTTTACAGGCCTTTTTTCTCTCATTTTCTTCTCAGTGGAAAAAGATAGTAGTTGGTTGCCAACCCGAAGATTGTATTTCCACCTGCCACACAATCTACCTAATCTTCTCTGTTTTGTAAATTTAATAGCTAAGAATTACTAATTTTGCTTCACAGTTTTAATTTTTTTTCAGAAATCAGATTTTTCTCAAATCTTTTCCATTTCCATCAAGGACAGCTCATCAGATTTTTAGAACGCTGAAGAAGAGCTGAATTTCTTATCAGTATTACATTATGCCTCCCATGCATCATATATTTCTTGATCTCAGAATTATTTAAGATTAAAGAAAAGATCAGTTTAAAGAAAAGATTAAAGCTAAGATTAAAGTTTAAAGAAAAGATCATTGCTGAGACTGGTCCTAGAAAGGGGCTGGCATGTAGTAGCAGATTTTTTGTTGAATATTATAACTGGAACTTGAATAACCCATTTGGAAACAGTATTTGTTTTCACAGTAACACAAAACTCTGTGTGTGTGTGTGTCTAAAACAAGAGGTCCAACTCCCAGTCCCAGTCTTACTGCTTACTCACTCTGATCATGGGCTATTTACTTTCTTCCCTCATCTGTCAAATGAGACATGCGAATCAGAGGTGTTAGTAACTTGCTTAAGACCTTATAGGGTTATTGTGAATACCAAATGGAGCAAAGTATGGGAAAATGCAGGTAAAACTATGAAGTACACACCCAGTCCTTTTCACAATGCTTGGGCATTTAAAAAAGTCAGAAAGGCTTTACCTGAGATAGTGCAGTGTTGTGTTCATAAGTGAAAACAGTGTTTCAGGCAAGGGAGTTGGAGGGCTTGACAGCAGATCCACCATATCAGATACTGGTCAATTTTTTAATGAGCCTCAGTAAAGGATACTCAAGGGATAAATTGTCCTGAGGAGATTGAGTTCATTCTCTCTGCTGAAGATGTGCTGATTTCTGTTTAGGAAAACTTTCCAAGAGATGAATCATTTGTTTTTATAGTCACTATGTTCCAGTGGCCCATCTTTTTATGGTACTGACTCCATGAATTGGCGTCCAAAGTCATAGTTAAGATAATTGCAGCGTTTTGCAATTGCTGTATATTGTTTCTGTATTGATCTTACAAATATCAGTGAAGGAACAGTGACACTTAGGAAAATGAAGAAACAGCATAATGTATTGTTTTCCCCCCAGGGTTTCTACTATAAAGCCTATCCTGAAGGGGCTAAACGACCTTTTAAGGGTTTCCAAAGGGAGTAACTTCCCCTAGTGGCTCAGATGGTAAAGAGTCTGCCTGCATTGTGGGAGACGGGTTCTATCCCTGGGTCGGGAAGTTTCCTCTGGCGAAGGGGATGGCAACCCACTCCAGTATTCTTGCCTGGGAAATCCCATGACAGAGGAGCCTGGTGGGCTCCTGGGGTCACAAAGAGTCGGACACAACTGAGCAACTAATACAAAAGAAGTAGATAAATGAATAATTCAAAATTTGACCCAGCAAAAATACCAGGATATTTAATTATAGTTCTTCTGTTGTTGTAGTTTATACTACTCTTCCTTTTCAGAATTATCATTTGATCATTTTTTTATGTAGAAGTTTAAAAGGATGACTTGGAAGAGTGCTTTCCATTTAGAATAAAACAGGTTTGATATCCTCAGGTTTTAACAGCAGAATGTCGTGTGGGATGGAATTAATACTTTGACATTTGAGACCAACACTAGGTGTGCCTAAATCATGGCCTTTTTTTACCCTTTGTTTAGATTGTTAGAATTGACAGTGCTTTAGATTGGAATAAAAATGAGGCCACACAGCCCAGAGAAGTGATGCCCTTCCTCCCCAAGGTCAGGCTAGTTGGTAGCAGACCTGGCAATGGAAGGGGCTTACTCGACAGATTGTTATTTTTTCACCTGCTCTGACCTTTCCCTGAAAACCCTCTGGCCAGAGCACAAGAGCCGCTCCTTTTCCCATCTGTGCCCAGGGCAGAGTGTGCTTGCTCTGTCAACTCTGTAGCTGATCCGAATGCCTTTTGGAGTAGAGGGCTGTAGAATTCTGTTCCAGCAGAGATGTAGTGAGAAGCAGTTTCTGCAATAGGGAACCCCACCTGACTGTTCTTTCTGAATCATTCCAAAGTAGCAGAGGTTTCGGTGCCAGAACTACTCACCGTGTTTCTGAGTTTGCCCTTTGTTCTCTGTTACTTAGCCTCTGTCTCCTTTTGTTCTAGGAGCTTTTTTGTTTCCTCCTTTGATCCTTGCTGAGAAGTGTCCCCTCAGGTTTTTCTGTGTAGGCTGCTTCTGTCTCCTTGCTCAAATTCTTCTCATAGTTAAAGAGCATATAAACGAAGCTGCTTGGTGGGGATGGAGGAGGCCCTTAGCCCGTGTGCCTCCGTCGTGTCTGGCCGAGAGCCAGTGCACAAACGTGTGTGAACTGACTGAGTCAAGTTTCAGAATTAGCAGAGGATGTTCTTGGTTTTTGATGTTCTGAAACAAAACTTTAAAAGGATCGTACAGATGAGTATTAATGCTTTCCATGCCATTAACATGAAAGAGCTGGTGACCTCCAACACTGTGTGTGTGTATAGCAACCCACAGTGTCCAGCCCATGCTGTGGGGAAGCGTCAGCAGCCAGTGGCTTACCTTGGTTGTCCCTTACGGTGAAGTTGGGGTTGTTCGCAGCCTCAGGAGCCAGGCTGTAGTAGAAGTGCTGGCCATTGCGCGGGTTGTCCTGGTCCACGGCGCTCACGGTCTGGATCAGCTGGGGGAGGGGTGTGAAACCAGGCGAGTCAGAGTCAAAGGCTCCCAAGGAAGATGAGACCCCAGGCTGTGTTACCTAGTGAGGCCATCCTGAAGCTTCCCTCGCAGTCTCTGTACCATCCCCCAGCCCAGACTGAAGTTCGGTTTATTGTCGGGGCTTCCCAGGTGGCTTAGTGCTAAACAGTCCTCCTGCCAACAGGGACAACTCAGGAGAGGCAGGTTTGATCCCTGGGTTGGGAGGATCCCCTGGAGAAGGAAACAGCAGCCCACTCCAGTATTCCTCCCTGGGAATCCCATGGACAGAGGAGCCTGGTGGGCTGCAGTTCATGGCGTCGCAGAGTCAGACATGACCGAGCTACGGAGCATGCACACATATGTTAACAGGCCCAGGGTAGGTGTCACCGAAAAAATGCTTTGGACGGTAGATGTTGAAATAACACGATATCCTCCCTCCGCATCTGGCCCGTTCTAGGCGGTCAGGACAGCAGGCTGAATGAGAGGGCTCGGGGGTGCCGCAGGGCCCTGCTTGTTTCCCGCTGTTTGTCCTCTTCCCCCACCGTCTTAGCCTCACCTTTGGGTTCATGGTTCATGGTCAGATTGCTGTCTTTGAGAGTGAAAGTGAAAGTGTTAGTTGCTCAGTCATGTCCGATTCTTTGCAACCCCATGGACTGTATAACTTGCCAGGCTCCTCTGCCCATGGCATTCTCCAGGCAAGAATGCTGGAGCGGGTAGCCATTCCCTCCTCCAGGGGATCTTCCCAACTCAGGGATCGAACCCGGGTCTCCTGCACTGGCAGTTGGATTCTTTACTACCTGATCCACTAGGGAAGCTTTGAGAGGCCTCTGCTTAAAAATGAGCAATACCTAGTGGGCAGTAAACAGACATTTCATCAATGATTTCAAGTTAGTGGAAAACAGATGTGAGAGAATGGGTCGCAGAGCAGTCACTCTGTTGGCAGGAAGGGGAGCTAGATAGAGTGCAGAGCACAAGACCCCCAGGGTAGGGTTACAGACCAGACAGGAGCCGGAAGCAGAGCTTGGGGCCAAGGAGAGCAGGAGGTGGGGTGGCAGCTTCTTGAGCTCTCTGGCCAAAATTTTGCCTTTTCCATCTGCTCTTCAAAGTACTAAGTTGCTAGGAAGGTTTTGCTGAGCAGGTTGGAAAAGTTGGTAAGAAAGCAGTGTGAGGTGCACAGCTGAGACACTGGCTGGCAGACGGGGGGGATGGACAAGGTGCTGAAGGGGTGGTCTGCCCATGTGCGCTCTCCCACCAGCCCGCAGCACAGACTGCCCACCCCTCCCGGGCTTGGCTCTAGACTCGACACCCCTGCTGTCAGACGCTGGCTGTTAGCAGGTAGAAGGTGGGGCTCTAAAGGTCAGCAGGGGGCTGAGGGGGGCTGGCTTAGTCTCTCTTTCTTCATCTGTAAATGAAGGGAGGTACAGATACTCTAACAGTGTCCTGAAGAGTGAGTAAGCGAAGGGGAAGCTTCTAGCTTCTGAGCAACAGTGTTGCTCAGACCCCCTTCAGGGGAGGACTTGATGCCTTCACCTGTCAGTCTCTCTGGGGATGGCCTCAGTTGGTGAGACCCACCTCCCCAGAGTCTCCACATCCTTCCAGAACAATCTGTGTCCAGCGACTGATACGATGTATATAGGCCTGGCCACCCCGTCTCGACTCAGGAAAGCCCTCGTTCTCAGCGTCGGTGGAGTCCCCAAGGGCTGTCCGTGGTCTGCACCACTGCTGGGCGTCTCTTGTCCAGCCCTGCAGAAGCTCTTCTCTGGCACAGGAGTTGGTCCCAGGGGCATTCCTTACTCACTACTAAACATCTTAGACCAGCACTCCAGCTCAACTCACGCCTCCTGGTGAACTCAGCTGGCACGGGGCTCTGCAGTCTGAGGTTGGGAGGATGGAACTGCCGTGCTGGCGAGGGATCGGGAGAGCCCTGGAGAGGACTGTGGCCCAGCAGCCCCGCCCGGGGTCCCTGCTACTCCCACTCAAGGATCACCCCACTGCCCACCCCTCCCAGACAGATCCTGTATCCTTCGTCTTGTCAGATGTGTGAAGACATGTTTCTTCATGAATGTTATAAACAGGTGAGTATGTATAACTTGGCAAATAGTCCTTTCAGCACATCTGGCCTGTGAAGTTGTATATATGTATGGTGGAGACCTGGGGCATGTGACTGCTTGGTTACAGGGCTCTCAGGAACGTGAGTGAAGACACGACTTCGGAGCACCTGCGCCTGCTCTCCTGGGCCTGCTCTCCCAGGCCTCCCCTTTCCTGGGCCTCCTGTCTCTTGGTCCTCCCCTCTCCTGCGCCTGCCCTCCCGGGCCTCCCCTCTCCCGGGCCTGCTCTCCCGGGCCTCCCCTCTCCCGGGCCTGCTCTCCCGGGCCTGCTCTCCCGGGCCTCCCCTTTCCCGGGCCTCCTGTCTCCTGGTTCTCCCCTCTCCTGCGCCTGCTCTCCCCGGCTTCCCCTCTCCCGGGCCTCCTGTCTCTTGGTCCTCCCCTCTCCTGTGCCTGCTCTCCCGGGCCTCCCCTTTCCTGGGCCTCCTGTCTCCTGGTTCTCCCCTCTCCTGCGCCTGCTCTCCCGGGCCTCCCCTTTCTTGGGCCTCCTGTCTCCTGGTTCTCCCCTCTCCTGTGCCTGCTCTCCCGGGCCTGCTCTGCCAGGCCTCCCCTCTCCCGGGCTTCCCCTCTCCAGGCAGGTTCAAGTCCATCCCCAGCGTCACTTCCCATCCCAGAGTCTGCTCGGCAGGCCTCCTGCTGCCCTCGGCCTGCACCTCAAATGTCCTCAGATTTCCCTCTGGGCTTTCTTCGCTGAGGAAAGCACATGTCCCAGCTCGGCAGATGCAGAGCTGACGACAGTGTCCGACAAATCTTACACAAGGAGGCTGAGTCTTCATAGACCAGATGTACCTACTGAGCTGTGTGCTTTTGAAAATCTTCAAAACATGTCCCAGAGCCCAAATCAAAGGGTTGGATTTATGTTTCTTGGGCTAAAGATGATGAACATGACATTACGATAGACCTGTGGCTCTCAACCTGAAGCTGAAGTCGCACATAAAAGTTTATGTGCTTCAAAGGGCTGTGTAATAGACCAGGAGAAGATGGACACAGAAATGCAGACGTGGAGAGAGGTGTCTGTGTGCTACAAAGACAGGAGCGGCAGCAACATGGTATTATCCTGCCATTCGTTTCCAACAGGATGGAAATGCTTCCCTGTGGGGGTGTGAGGGGGTTCAATGTACTGCGTTCCTGTTACTCTGTATTACAGAATAAAAATCATCTTCTTGTCATATTGTAATATAAAGTATGTCATATTATAGTAATAATCCTGTATAAAACAAGTTTTTGTGTTGTATTTCTATAATATATATATATAACTTAATATGATAATATAAAAATCATTAAAATGAACGCCCAAATCTCAACTACCTTAGGACAGTAGCTATGGCTGTTTTTCTATCCTGCCTTCCAATTTTTGTTCACATGCAGATACAACTTTATGTAACTTAAAGCATGTACATGTAGTTTCTATGCCTCCTTTCTTTACTTACATAATAACATGGATCATTTCTTATGCTTTAAAGTGTTAATTGTAACTTTTATTAGCTGCATAATATTTCAAGTTTCTCTAGACTAGAAATGCAATAGATATGAAGGTAGATTTATCTTAGTCTTGTTGAAAAAAGTGTAGGCGTGCTATAGACCATTGCACTGGGTTTCAGGCTTGAATGGATGAGATAACTTACATGAGAATGACTGCAGGACACATTTCCCCACTCCCCAACCCCGGACAAGGGAGTCACTTTTTCTTTGCATGGAAAGAACAGTAAAGATACATTGAGGCAATCTTTGCTGAGTTCAGGCAGCTAGTGTAAGTTCTGGTTGTATAGACAGAGTCTCCCTGTGCAGCGAGATGCTGCAGGAGAGGGAGACAGCAATGGAAGCAGAAACTGCTTTACAGTTGAGAAGCCTGAATCACCAAACCATGACTGCTTGCCGTCTGCACCCAGCGCCTGGACCAGGATCCTCAGGGTCACAAAATAAGCTCGGGGGAAGTAAGGCAGGACTGTTAGGGAGTCTGTTGGGTCAAAGGTAGAGAGGACAGCGTCTTACAAAAGTAGGACAGAAGAGGAGAGACGGCATGTGATCTGAGGTGTGGCAGGTTGGGTATGGTGTGGGCACCGGCCTAACACATGTGTTAATCACATGGCCATTCCAGACACAGTTCAGTTGCACTACTTGGATTTAGTCAAACAAATATTCACTTAGGTTTTAAGCAGACTTAAAAAAAAATAGGCAAATGTATACGAAGATGATGGAGCTAAAGCTGTTTCAAATAAGTAGACATTTGTTCCTTAAGATGCCTTTCCTCTCAAAACTTCATGTGACGTGAGGGAACTGAGAACATCGGTGTTCTAGCTGAGGGAGGAGAGCGTAGGCAGGAATAGGGCAGACAGTCCCTCGGGGATGCCTGCTGTCAGAAGAAAGGGAGGCAGGAAGATTAACAAATGAGCCTTCCTTCCTGCAGATGTTTTCAAGGATTAGTGCTAAGCGGAGAAAAAGGCTCTTTTTTTTCCCCTTGATATTCACGGCCCCTTGTTTCCAGGGTCCAAAGCACATGTAACTACAATTGGTTCTGTATGGTTCATTTACAAGCTGGGTAAACTACCTTGATTCACAGCCTTTTTTAGATCATAAAATGTAACAGGTTCTGAGTAGTTGTCTTAGCAAATAAGTGGTTGTAACATGATAAACAGAAGTCGGGGACTCTTTTACAAACTGTTAGCTCTGGAGTCTAAATTTCTTTGATGGCCAATCTGGTTATCTGTAACTCTCATTTCCACCTGTTGGGAGGTTAGCCACAGTGCATAGACTGCTTACCTGTCCTGCCTTGGCATTCTCACAGACAAAAGCTTCATAGAATCGGGGGAACTCTGGGGCATTGTCGTTCACATCTAAGACTTTGATTGTGACAGGAACACTTCCAACCTGGGATGGATTGTCTAAAGGAAGCAAACACAATACAGATAAACAAAAACCAAAGGTGAGAAGGATTCAGAAACATAAGGAAGCAGCTCTTTGTTGGAGCAGGTATTTGTTTCCTCATTCTGGTTTTTGAAGGAATGGATAAAGACCATGGAACTATCAACGCCAGGTTGCAGGGGGTTCCTGTTAAAGAGTGTGGCTGGAACATGAGTGTGGGCAGGCAAGGTGTGTGCTGGAGAGTGTGTGACGTCAGGAGGGTGAGGGGCGGGGTGAGACTCCCCGGGGAGCAGGCATCACAAATGAATCTTAAAAAGAGGTTTTGAGTTTCTCACTTGGCTTAGACTTCAGGTTCTAGATGAAGTCAGGTTGCAGCCTGGGCAGTGAGAGTGGCACCAGCAAGCTCCTTGCCCGGAAAACAGTACCCAGCATCTCAGCATCGAGCTGCCATATCCTTGGGCTATGTCTGTGAGCATCTGTGCTTTTTATTTTGTGCATCTGCTAGCAAGATGTGTCCTAATGGAACTGCTTCTTCACGTTACACCATTTTGGCCTACAAAAGGTTTCATAGGAACCCTGTACTTTGAGATAGTGGGGAAAACCTGTAATCAGTTCTTTGAATTACTGTTTCAGAAGATTTTAAGTTATTCATGGGATTACAGGTAACACTGCACATTTATTTCTGCTTTTGGAGTCAGGAGATGTTACGGGATCAGACACACACCAGATCCACATTTTTGGCTGAGACAGAAGCTACTCACAGTCACTCATGGGGAACAACACCCTTTTGGTCTCTCTCCTGTTTGACGCCACCGCACACAGGGAATCTCACCACCGGCTGCCGACCCTCCTGTCTGTCTGTCTGGCCACCGTCCCAGGAAGACAAGACTGTGCTTAGTGAATAATTTTATTAAATCTCAAGATGTCCTGTTCTTCTGGTTCATTTTTTCCCTCAAGAATATTTATGCCTTGTTTTTCCCCTAAATATTTATATTGCTTGGTTAGCAAGAGTGCTGACATGTTAAAATTTTCCCATTATAACTTGTGCTGGTGCTTGTTTATAGAGGCGATGATGAAAATTTCAGAAAAATAAGAATAAGTGTGACCCATGGTCCTACCGCCAGAGATATCCATTATATATTATGTATAATGTTACATGTGTCCAATCTCTCTCTCTCTCTCTCTCATACACACACACATACACACTCTGAAATTAAGCAAAATAAAAATGTTTGATTTAGACTTTAACATTTTAGGGCAAGATTTTCCTAAAGTCATTGAAATGTACTTTGAAATTAATTGGTACATTAATTGATATTAATGTAAACAGGATTTTACTGTATGTACCATAATTTATGTAGTCAAACTCCTGTTATTAAACTTTTAGGTATTTCCCCTCTTCTAAAATAACAATGTAGTGGGCATTTTGGTACATAAATCTTTGTTAATATGATGACTGTTTCCTTAAGATACTTATTAGAAGTATAATTATTGAGAAGAAGACTATGAATGTATTGGGGAATCTGAATACAAAAGATTTCTTACCAAATTGCCCTCATGAATGACTGTACATACTTCTGCTAATACATTAGGATTTATAATTTCCCTTAATATTCCTCATCATTAGGTGTTGTGGGGAAAAAATGGAATGTAGTAGTATGTAATTCGTGTTGAGATTATAATAAATATGTTAATTTAGTTTATTAATTTTCAACTTTATTTTCAGGTTTATGTTAACAATCTGTTGTAAGATGTTTCAAATTCTTACATGCATGTATATGTGCATAGTAAGGGTGATATGTTATAAATGCTTCCTTTCATCTGATAATAATATATTATTTGCATTCCTAATCTTATTAAAGACTGAAAGCCTCTTAGATTTCTCAAGAATTGTCCCTTTTCTTCATACAGAAGTGTAGCTCTTTATTTCAAGGATGCTATTTTTTGTGCTGCTTTTGCACGATATGTTTGTTTTTATCTCTAGCACAGGACTAGGTATATAGAGATCCTCAGTAAGTATTTGAACTAAATACATTAATTCACTTGCGCAAGCCAGGATTTCCATTTGTTCCCATGAGGAATGTAATTTTTGTTCCGACAGGCTCTGGAAGCTTTCACTTTCTGCAGGGCTTGCGTTTCGTCACCACATGGAGGCCAGCGTGCTGGTTCACTTACTCATTTCCATAGCAAGGGCAGTGATATTATGCCAAGAAAGCTCCTCCCGGTCGAGAGGCCTTGCAGTCATTAGGGCACCTGTTGTAATGTCCACATAGAAGAATCTTCCAGGATCACTGCTTCTGTCAATAGAGTATCTGTAGAAATGGAGATTAAACGCGTTGTCTTATTTGGATAAGCATGTTTATTCATACTTATAGCATATTACATGAGAAAACTGAGTGCATACTCTGTGAAACAGGACTTGCTCTGAATTATAGGCCCTAGGAAGACTGCATTCCTGTTTCATCATATCCAAAACCACTGCCTTCCCCCCTAAAAAAACCTCCAAACACAAAACAACAACAACAAATTGTTACTGCTTTAATTTCCTCGTTCAGAAAATGAAATAAAACGGGGTGCCAAAGACTTAGGACAGTTTTATACTTTCTAAAGATCAGTCTCAGCTATTTTTAAAGCTTAAAACTCTTCTAAGACTTTAGGGAAACTCTGAATATCAACCCCTGCATGTCTTTTTTCAAAACAACTTTTATTCAAATAAGTCCAGAAATGCTAAATTGGAACTGGAAAAGATAGAGTTGTGTGGTTCTGGTTCCTATAAGTAGTATCACCTATTGAAAAGGAAAAATTTGAATCAGGTCCTTTGTAACACACTAATGACTGACTTGTTGGCAGACACAATTATGTTATTTGCTAGATGGGGTGTCCTTATCTAGGGAATGTTTTTAGCAAGATGGACCCGGGTCTGTCTAGGTTGTTTATTGTAAATAGCCTAGAATTTATGGGGCACAGCTTGCTTGAAAATGTCATGTGAGTAGTGTAGTTAATGGAGTATAAAAAGCAGATGTTACATAACTAAAACAGCTTTTAGGCAGTGCCCTTCATTCATTGCTTACACCTTTCATATTCTGTGTGGACCAACATGCATCCTTATATAGAAAACAGAAGGATATTTACAGGTACCTACACCTAATGGTTCTAGACCTCTCTAAGGAAAGAGAAGTGTTGAAAGTGTTAGTTGTGTTTGATTTTTTGCGACCCCATGGATTGTAGCCCACCAAGCTCCTCTGTCAGTGGGATTTCCCAGGCAAGAATACTGGAGAGGGTTGCCGTTTCCTCCTCCAGGGCATCTTCCCGACCCAGGGATAGAACCCGATTCTGTCCCTGCAAGCAGATTCTTTACCACTGAGATACAGGGAAGCCCGAGGAAGGAGTGCTCAGGTCATGTTTTGCTGCTGTTTGTATCCTTTGAGCCCTTCTCACCTTGACCCTGGGTAAGGGCTGTAACTCCTGCTGAGTCTGAGTTGGATGCCTGACCCTTTGTGTTTCACCTGAGTTGTCTTACCTGGCCCCTGTCTTAGAAGAGTTGCTAGGTGTGGAGGGGGGCTTAGGAATCTGTGTGTTCAAAAGCCTTCTAAGGGATTTTGATGTGTAGCCATGACTGAGAACCATTCTTGAGAATCTTATGTTGCCCTTGGTAATGGGCAGTAGTTATGATTGCTGCCATCTGCCGAATACCAGGCATTTTATAGCTCTTTTTAAATTCTGCAGCATCTCTAAGATATATAGCTAATAATTTTCAGGTAATAGTAAGATCTGAAATGTACATGTTTATGTATAAACTATTATATATATTATAGATTATAAATTATATATAAACACTGGAGAAGGGAACGGCAACCCACTCCAATATTCTTGCTTGGAGAATTCCATGGACAGAGGAGCTTGGTGGGCTGTAGTCCACCGGGCTACAAAGAGTCGGACATGGCTGAGCGACTAACACTACACAAGACACATATATACATATATAAGCTATTGTAATATACTGGGTTCAAAATTCCATTTAAAGTTGCCAGCGGGTACGAACGAACCTCTTTACAAAACAGAGGTAGAGTCGCAAATGGAGAAAACAAACAGTGGTTACCAAGGGGGAAGGCGGGGAGGGATGAATTGGGAGACCGAGACTGCCATGCACACCGCTGCATATAAAATAGGTGACTAATAGGGCCTGTGTGTAGCTCAGGGCACTCTGCTCAGTATTCTGCAGTGCCCCATATGTGAAGAGAGTCTAAGAGAGTGGACCTGTGTATAACTGATTCAGTTTGCTGCACCGCAGAAAGTAATACAACATTGTAGATCAATTATAACCCAATAAAAACTAATTTTAAAAAAGTTGCCATCGGAATTCCCTGGCAGTCCAGTGGTTAAGGACTGCAGGCTCTCTCACTGCTGAGGGCCTGAGTTCAATCACAAGCCAAGTGGCATAGCCCCCCAAAGAAGTTTCCAGCAATTGCAGTCTGTATCTTAAAGTTGTTGAAACTGGGAAATACTGCCCTTTTGATGGCAGTAAGCAATTTCTTTAGTCTAATGCATTGTTTTTCAAACTGAAATCAGTATGGTGGGTTATGACTACTGTAGAAAGAAAATGAAATGGATATAGGCATGCCAGACTTATTTACAGTAAGGGTAAATATTGATGGCAAAATGTTTGTTTCAACATATAGAAATACATACATATAGTTTATACCTGTATATATGGGGCTTCCTAGGTGGCACTCATGGTAAAGAATCTGCCAGTGCAGGAGATGTAAGAGACATGAGTTGATCCCGGGGTTGGGAAGATCCCCTGGAGGAGGGCATGGCAACCCATTCCAGTATTTTTGCCTGGAGAACCCCATGGACAGAGGAGCCTGGCAGGTTATGTGCATGGGGTTGCAAAGAGCTGGATATAACTGAAGTGATTTAGCATGCACGTACCTGTATATATATTATTTGGTAAATTATTTTGTTTCAAGTATGCATTTTTTTCCTGTTGAGATTCAGGATGACTGTTCAGAGAACTGGGAATTAAAAGGTAAGGTGATCACTAAAGGCTGGAGAAGTTGGAATCATTTCAGTTGAAACCCTCCAAGTGTTGGGAAATTTAAGTGTATAATGCTTTTGCTTCTGACCGTGTTACTATAACCTGGCCCTGCTCTAAACATCTTACATATATTGTCTCATGTCATCTCCACAAAAACCTTGTGAGGTAGGTATTGTTATTATCCCCGTTTTACAAGTGAGAAGCTGAAGCATGAAAAGGTTAAGACGTTTGTCCAAGGTTGCACAGCTGAGAATCAAACCTAGGCGTATGAAATGTGTGGGATGGCTTAAGGAAACAAAGCCGCCTCTGTTTTTGAAGATAGATGGGGCCGTGGTGACCAACAATTGACTATTTAATAAAGAATAAACACATGCCTAGCAAGTTCATTTAAAATTAATTGGAACATTTTTTCTTTTTTCTGGATGTTATTAGTGATTTAAAGTCTCCTGGCTCTTTGAAGATTTGAATTTATCTTAGAAAAAAAAGCACCGGTCGGCTCCTGACAGTCTCCTTCCAGCTCCCCCAGCACGAGAAGAGCCAGCCACTCACCCACAGAGCCGGAGCCCTGCCGGCGGACCACCGAGCGGGGAGGCCGCCGTCCGCACGCGCACCCGCGGGGCCGCCGGCGGCAGGGGAGGCGGGGCGATGGGGCAGCCGACGGACGCCTGAGCGCCTGCCGACGCTGCGCGGGGACGCGGCGCGGGGACGCGGCGGGCCGCCCCAGAGCGCAGGCGGCGGATTTCCTCGGTTCCCAGCGGGGCCTGCACTGAGGCACTGATGGCGTCCATTGCTCGAGTGGGACACTGGGCGATTTTCAGGAGCCGGGAGAGCGAATTCAGAGGTGGAGATACAGATGCAAGATGAGGAAACTGGGAGACACTGGTGAATTATGTGGCTGGCTTTCCTTTCTCTAGAATACTCTCAGCTGCTGTGGGCCGAACAGGCGTGACATGTCCACACGCGCCTGCCCTCAGCGAACAGTGCTGGTGTTCACTGCGCTCCCTGCTTGCTTACTTGGCTGAGGACATTCTCTGAATTTAGGAGCGATTTGAAAGCGGAGTTTCATGGACAGGATCCCCAAATCCACACACACACTCCAGGAAAGCACAGAGGGGCTGGCTGGCTGCATACCAGCAGAAGCCTGTTTCAATTGCTGAATGGTTCCTGCTTGCTAGAAATTCCTCGAGCATTTATTAAAAATTTAGGTGATCCAGACATTATATTTTTCATGTATATATAACTAAATCTGGAGACTTGGTTTTGGGCTTTGCTAGTAATTGATAACCAGCTTATATGCCTCAACACACCATAAAGTTTCTAGAAATGAGATTATAAAAGTCCTGATAATGTCATATGCATGCCTATGGCTGATTAATGTTGAAGTTTGGCAGAAACCAACAAAATTCTGTAAAGCAATTATCCTTCAATTAAAAATTAAAAAAAAGTTCTGATAATCTTTTTAAAAAGTTAAATGACCTTTTATCATAGCATTTTAAACCTAGATGATGTGTTAATTTTTGGTGATTTAATATGTATTTTATTTTTAGGAATATGAACCTCATTTATTGGTAATTAAAATGTAGAAGATAAATTTAATAGACAAGCAGCATATAACACATTCGAAGTATTTTAGAAGAAAATAACTTTTATAGCAAAAAAGGAGAAAATGAACAATTTGAGGAAAGATAACAGGAAAGTAATTTCCAGATGGGTTTATTAAGTGATAGCCAGAGATCTGACTTCTAGGTGCCTTCTCTCTTGAGAATCCAGGATCCCCAGTGTTCTGCTTGGGCCCAGGGACCATACTTCGTTCTTGTGGGACAGTACAGAGCCAGAGACTCTTATCTGGCTGTGTGAATTCTGATCCTTCTTTCCAACCAAAATGCAGAGAGACCATTATCTCAAGTTCTGATAAGTGGGATTCTATTTCACCTCTGTCCTGGGATGTTAGTCTTCAGCAGACCTGTGGCTGTTGCCTTGTTCCTGCCAATCTCTCTCTCTCAAGGCCTAAAGTCAGGACTTCTTGGCTATCCAGTCTTAAGACTCCCCCACAGGAAGAACAGGTTCGATCCTTGGTCGGGGGAGCTAAAACTCCCGCAGGCCACATGGCGCGGCCAAAAAGAATAAAGACCTAGAGTCTTGCCCTAGAATAAGCCCCATGGTCCCTGCTGCAGGCCTCCTGCCTGTTCACTCTTAGATTCCTCCTGACCGGGATCTATTGGACTAGACAGGCTCCCCACTATACATTATTCTGATGCCAGCTGTCCTGCCTTGCTGGCCAACTGATGGTTTTCAGCAGCTTATCACCTGAAGCAGCAGTTTCTGTTAGCCAGACAGGTTTCCTCATGCTGTGTACCTCCTTCTGCTCCATGCCTGCGGTGCATCTAGGCCTGCTGGTATTTCTCTTTCCTTCCTAGTTATGTGTTGAGATAATGACCTTAGTCCTAGATAATGCATGTTCATGCTAGGGGTGTGTGTGTGGGTGTGTGTGAATTTACTTAGTTCCTGACTGCTTTCTGTCTCTTGCTTGTCACTTAGTAGAGTGACTCTTGACAAAACCAAATTTCCAGTGCTTACAACTCAGCAGTCTATAGCGTCAGAATCTAGAAAAAAGATGTGGAATTAGCCACTGAATATTCTCATTGACTTTTAGAAATAGGATTTGAGTTTTTCAAACTGTTCTTGTTTTATTTCAAGTATTTTCCCTCCATAAAGTTTTATTCTGTAAAGTTTTCCCCACAGTTCTCCAATATGAGTAGATCAATCAGAAGATACACATGTATTCTTGGCTTTTGATATAAATGTAATATTTGTATTGTAAATATAAATTTATAATAGAATTGTTTTCATTTATGTTGTTTTTTGGGGGACAATATGATTTAACTAACTTCTTCCCATCTTATAAGCTTAAAAAGCTTAAGGTTGAACTATCACTTCTATAAATTGTCATAACTTAAAAAGATTCATTGCCTACTAAAAATCAAGTATCAAAATTGAAACGAGATTATTTTAGCCATTTTAATGCCTGAAATGTAAAATGTTTGCTACTTGATTAGAGGAAGCAGATTTCCCCCACTAAGGTTAATCTCAGGAGAGAATAGTTTTTATTAAATTGCAGAAGTACATTTTCCTTCAAAATGGCACCTGGTGAGGGAAGTAAGCAGCTGACAGAAAAGGCTTCTGACAAATTGAGGTGTGTTTAAACTGTGCGCTCTGTGCTAACGCCTGAGATCCATTTGTGTGGCTTTCGACAATTAACGTGACAGATGGCCTCAAACAGCCTGGGAACCCTGATCTTTTGTGTCAAGCTTCAGAGGCTTGGCAGTTGCTCTGGAAGGTTGAAGTGTCAACCTGTTCACCAGCTGTTTGCTCTTTGGTTCCAGGGTTGATAGGAAGTGGCCATGGTTATAAGAGGAGCTCTTTGCCTGCTCTTGAAGGGGAAGCATCTAGGTTGGAATCTTGATGTTCAAAACATACTTTGGAGAGGCTAATTTGTGGATTTGCAATAGAAAGTCAGTCTACATGGCATCAAAGCTATTGACAATGGTGAGAGTTTTCTATGTCTGTTCTTTCTATAATATATGGAAATATGTGTTTATATGTGTTATTTTTTCATCTTTAAAGTAAAAATGTCAAAGGTTCACAAAAATTAAGAGTGTATAATAATCACTTATATTCACCACTAAGATTCAACAATTTTTAATGCTTTGATATCTATGTGTCTATTTGACGACATCTGGGGTCTTTTTTGGGGGCTTCCCTGATGGCTTAGTGGGTAAAGAATCCGCTTGCAGTGCAGGAGACAAAGGAGATGTAGGTTTGATCCCTAAGTTGGGAAGATCCCCTGGAGCCTAAGGGAGTGGCAGTCCACTCCAGCATTCTTGCCTGGAGAATCCCATGGACAGGGGAGCCTGGTGGGCTACAGTCTGTGGGGTGTGCAAAGAGCCAGACTTTATAGAATGTTACAACTCAGGGAATGCTATGGGTTTTTTTAGGAGGTAGAGGCCAGAGATGCTGCTAAACCTTGTAAAACGTATATGATACCCCCCTCAACAAAAAATTACCTACCCCTAAATATCAGTAAGGCCACGACTGAGCACTGAGGGGTGTGTGTATGTGTGTTGCTGAACCAGGTGACAGGGAGTTGTAGTCATAATGACACTTCTAAATAATATGAAAAGTCCATGTCATTTAAGAAAAAAAAAGCATTTAAAGAAAGAGTCTCTAGAGATGGAAGAAGCAAAAAGAAAAAGTGCTAGAAAATTAGAATCAAGGGCAGATTCTCGGAAATAAGGCAAAGGTGAAATGTGTGAAAAAACCTGATTGAGTTGTTGGTCACATCTGGGTCCTTGGCAGAAACGATCTGTATGGTTGTCCCAATCGCCACATCTTCAGGTACCTCCACAAAATAAAAGCCAGCGTCAAACACCGGGGGCTCGTCCACGTCTTCCACACTGATGTGCACCGTGGCTGTGTCTTGAAATGGGCCCAGGTTCAGAAATCGCATCTCGAGGTGAGGGTTGGCTCCCTCCACTTTTAAGGTATAGCTTTTCTTTCTCTCAAAACTCAGGGGCTGAAAAGTAAGGACAGGAAGACTGCTTAGTTAGGAGCATATATGTCAAGGTTCTAAAGGATGGATGATACTGATAGCTGGCGGGTAGTTTCCCAAATGTATTAAAATGGTGGAAAAGAGACAAGAGGAAAAATAAGCAGAAGTTTTCCTTTTGTTCCATGGTTCTTGCCGTTTCAACAATTTGGGTAAAGAAAGTAAAGGGGGTGGTAGATGCTTTAGAGACAGTAAAGCAAGCCAGTCTGCTGATGAAGAAAGCCACCGCACCCTGAGCTAGGCTGACCTTGACCTGTCTACTCTGTAATCTGCACAGTCATCGTTAGAAAGACTTGTTCATTTGAAAAGGTGTCATGATAATTAAGAGCGAGTTTGAGTTCTTTTCCAGTATATCCAAGCAACTGAGGCCTAAGCCTCTCTGTTTTCTCCCTTAAAAAATTTTCTTAAGGACAGAGGCAATAGTGATCTTTTCTAAGAAACTATCAATAAACACCTCATGAAGGTTCTTAGTGCTTTGTGTCAGATCAATATTTGTGTGTTTAGTTTATCATAGACAATCTCCTTTAAAAACCTGATCCAGTGCCTCATTTTATAGTTAAAGAAACAGTCTCAGAGAGCTAGAAGACTGGCTGAAGCTGATGTGGTTGTCTGTGTCAGGGTAGAAACGCTGCTAAGGACTTTTAGATTCCTCATTCAGGGCTCATCCACAAAAGTTTAACTTTGTCTAATAAAATCCCATGTCATGACATATAGCTTTTTTGGTGTTTCCTTTTTTGGATCTCTCTCTCTACCTTCAGAATATTTTATGTCAAAATAAATACAGCACTTCAAGGCACAAAGTAGACTTGAATGCTATCTCTTTAAGAATAATCCATTTATGTTTTTTTTTAAACTGACAAAAATGTATAAAAGTTTTAGGCAACACCTTAAAATATCATTAATAATTTTAAGAATCAGGGAAATTCAATTCTATACAATAATTGCAGAGGATAGGAAAGCAGTTCCTAAAGCTGAAAAGTCACATGTCAGCTTACGTGGTAACTTTGCCATTTTTTTTTTTCATAAAATATGCTGCATGGCAGCACATTTCATGTTAGAAAGAGGCAAGTGTCTATTTAAGCAACTAGTTTGCTTTTGAGAAATAAACAGGAGGAATTGCTTTAACTAAATTTATTATTTTCAAATTCTAGCAAGATTTTTGTTTATTTTGTTGCTGTTGTTGATTTATCACTGTTCTGTATTTACTTAGCACCATAGGTTGTACTCTTTGTTTCTTAGAGTCCACCGTTTCAATCTGAACCAAGCCATTCCTACCAGCCTCCTTGCCTCCAAAATTCCTAGTCAAAAGACAGGGTTTTCATAAACAGGAAAATCTGCCACTCAGGTTTCAATAAATCTGGTTGAATAGATTTACCAATTTATTTTATTTATGCTACTCTTTTAAGTCTAAACATCTGTATTTCCTGGTAATTTATTAGTACATTGAATTCTTTCAGAATTCTATCCCTATGTAGAAGTAACCCAAAGTGGACACTGATTGTTTATGTTAGGTTTGAGCTAGGCAGAATATGTTGTTTCTGTAATTTTAAGTCATTTTTCTAATTTGGCATGAATTTCATAAAAATTAAGATGTAACTTATATACCTTAAAATTCCCCTGTTTTAGTGTAAAGTTTTGCAAGTTTTGAGAAATGTATACAGTCATGTATGTGTTTCCTATGATAATTAAGATACAGAACAGGTCCATCACCCCGTTACCTCCTGACCAGTGCTTCTTTGTGGTCAGTTCCCACCCCTGGCACCTACTGATCTATTTTGTGTCCCCATTACAAGATTGTCACATATATGCAGTCTTTCAGTATGTAGTCTTTTGAGTCTGGTTTCTTTCACTTAGCTTATGCATTTGAGATTCATCCATGTCTTTGTGAACGTGGAGTTTTGTCCCTTTTATTGCCAAGTAGTATTCCATTATATGGGTTTCCCAGATGGTGCTAGCGGTAAAGAACCCACCTACCAATGTAGGAGACATAAGAGACCTGGGTTTGATCCCTGGGTTGGGAAGATCCCTTATATGGATGCACTGCAGCTTATCCATCCTCCAGTGGAGGATGTTGTTCTCAATTTCTGACAGCTATGAATGGAGCCACTATGAACATTTGTAGACAGGTTTTTGTGGAAGCATAGGTTTTCATTTCACTTGGGTAAATACCTTGGAGTGGGATTGCAGGAGTACATGGCAAGTATATTTCTAATTTTATAAGAAACTTGCAAACAAATTTTCACAGTGGCTGTACCATTTTGCATTCCCACCAGGAATGTATGAGAGTTCTCATTGCTCCACATCCTTGTCGTCACTTGGTTTTGTCAGTTTTTCTGATGTTAGCATCCTAGTGGATGTGAAACAGTATCATGGTGGTTTCAATTTGCATTTCCCTAATGCCAAATGATGTTGAGCATCTTTATATCTTCTTGAAGAGTTCTTTATGGATTTTATGTTACAGTCCTTTATCAGACAGGGATTTGCAAATATTTTTTCTCAATCTGTGATTTGTTTTTTCACTCTTCTATCAGTGATGAGAAGAAACTCTTAATTTTGATAAAATCTCATGTATCACTTTTTATTTTGTAGATTGGGGTTTTGGTGTCATAGCTAAGAAATCAGGGTCACAAGGTTTTCTCCTATATTTTCTTCTAGAAATTTTGTAGTTTAGTTTTTTATATTTAGGTAGATCATCTAAATTTCTTTCTATAGGTATGAATCAAGGTTCTCTTTTTATTTTTTTTTAGATACAGACATCAGACATCCAATTTTTCTAGTACTGTCTGTTGAAAGACTACAGTGAGTTTTTAATTATTTTTAAAGTTTCTTTTTAAATAACTTAATTGAAGTGAAGTGAAAGTTGCTCAGTCCTGTCCAGCTCTTTGTGACCCCATGGACTATACAGTCCGTGGGATTCTCCAGGCCAGAATACTGGGCGGGGGGGGGGGGTTGTTTTTCCCTTCTCCAGGGGATCTTCCCAACCCAGGGATCGAACCCAGGTCTCCCTCATTCCAGGCAGATTCTTTACCAGCTGAGGCACAAGGGAAGCCCAAATAAGTTACTTAGTCATTTTTATATTATTTAATATTATTGTGTCCCTTAAGTAATTTTATTGCTTAAGATTTAAAGAAAACATTGCCTTAATACCTTAAACTTTAAATTGCCCATAACTGATACATGAGTTTGACATTTCTCTCTTGAAAAGTTTTTGTACTTGTTTTTACATATTTAAATAGTAAATCAAAGAGTAGAAATGTCTGAGACCTCTAGTTAAATTCAGGAAATTTCCTAGAGTCGGAGCACATAAAAATGAAGTCATTGTATCCTTGAAAACTGAGTAATGAAAATTATGTCAGAAAATAGTAATGCAGTTCCCCTAAGCAGAATCAATCATTCCCTCTTCTCCCACAACACTTTGTCTTACTTCCATTATGGTTCTTCTTATTTTGTATTATAAATATTTCTTTCTGTGTTAGTTGCCTTCATGATATTAAAGGGCAAAGCCAATGATATAGTCAGATTTTTATTCCCCAGGGCCTTGGGAGGGCTTGAAACCTCAAAATGTTGTCACCTTGTGTAGTGCAAAAGTTTGTCAACGTATTAACGTGTACTAGTTGAGTGGTGACATATATACATGTTTTATTGCTGTATTTTAGTGATTGAACGATATAAATTTTTTATATTTTGACATTTTGGATATAGAGTTGCTTCTGCAGTTGATGGCACCCTGTAACTTCTGTAGGAGGCAGGATGTAGTTGTCAGCGTCTGCGCTGGCTAACCTGGGCTAAGTCATCAGTGCTGTGCCTCATTTGAGGTCTGCACGTGTTGGTGATACGTGTGTTGGATTTTGCTGCCTTCTAAAATGCTTTTAGAAAGATTGTATTATGATTCAACATTGAAACAAAAGTTGTTGTGTAGGCAACATGACATGGAAGCAACAGCAGGGAATAAACCTGATATTAGTGAAGCATATATGCCTGTGTTTGCAAGAGCTTTCCCAGTGACTACAAACCGAGGAATAGGAAAGCATTGCGCCATTAAAATTAGTAGAGTTTTTTTTTTTCTTTTTAAAGTGGTATCTAAAACAATGATGCAAATTCATGGCACCTTAGATTTGATAAAATACAAAAGTTTTCTGCTTTGTGGCCTAAGAGGGGAGTGGACTGGAAACAATTGTTTATTGAATGCTGGAAGATGGAAGACACACTGAGGCCATAAGATCACGCTCATACATAGAATAAAGAATGTTCTGAAAATTATATATCTCAAGTTATCTTTGAAGCACTTAAATTAAGAGACTGAAAATCAATTGACTGATTACTTGAACACCCAAAAGACCCAAGGTACTGAGTAGAAATCAGTGTGGCTTTATGAAGATCCGATTCTGTAAATTCAACTTAATTTCTCTTTTTGAAAAAGTATGTGCTATTTTAGACAAATAATAGGCCTGAGAGAAGTAAATCAAAAACAGAACTTTTGTTTCAATTTCACATGACATTATTAATGATAAAGTAGGAAGATGGGTGTGGATTGAGCATCTGAGTGACTATTGTTCCAAAAGTATAGATTGATTAGTCAATAGCCTCTAAAATATTTATTATATTTGACTTATCCATCTACTCAACTTATTGACCTCTTTCCTAATTCAATTTTCTGACACCTCATAAGTTCAGAAGAGAAATCCAAGTGACCTTGGCAAAACTGATAAATATTTTGGTTAAACATAGATATAGTTTTAGCAATGACAATGAAAGACAGTATTCTGTCTTATGAGATTTAATCTTGTCTCCAGGTAAGGGAGCTGGAGAAGGGACATTTTGAGATTCTTTTTAGATAGACCCATACCACTGTGACCAACCTCGTTTTATACAAAATTGTAATAGTTAATTTTTTTTAAACTAATGGCTTACAGTAAGGTCTAAGATATATTCTAATAATTTGATATACATTAATTTCTATTATTAAG